CAGAGCACAGATAGCCCATTGTGTAGCTTTGTGCATAATTACAAACAAACAATTATCTAAAATGAAATATATGTATTATTATTATAAGTTTTACATTTCCTCGAATATAAATTTATAAAACTCATTTAAATGCCTGTCCTGAATTTCTAGCATGCATATTTATTTGTAGGTTTAAAAATATAAAAAGCTAAAACAGTCACAGACGATAATTCAGTTTGGGTGTACTTGGGCAAAGACAGTGGTTTTTACTGTTTACTAGAGGTTATATTTATTTTATTGTAGTTATGACTAAACTACTTGCTATCGTCCCTAAATTTAAACTACTAACCCGAGGAAAGTCAGCCAGGCGGAAGCACCCTTATCACCAACCATCCACGCTAATAGATTAACTGTCACTTTTATAACACACTAATATCTTAAAATGTGAGGGAATTTTTGTGGTACCATCAGGATTCGAACCCGGCTCGCCAGCTCCAAAATCAGAGATCTACCACGTGACCTAACATCGATTGTTATTGTTTACCACACCATTTTGTTTGTGTATAATTCGGACAAAACAACGGTTTTATTAGTATATTCAGATAAACATAGATTTCGCTATTTCATACTTCTTTGTTTTAAAAAAATAACTGTGGGGATATTATTTCGAATAGCTCATCACACGCGCATGTACTTTTGTGTCAGTGTGATATCATACCTAATATCATAGTAAACGATGTGCATGAAGAAAATACTTACAAGTATTTTTCAAAGAAGCTTTCTGATTTTATGTATCTGACTGAAATTCAAAACGGATTTAATCACAACAAAAGTTCACTTTGCTGTTACGTTAACCGTAAAAAAACAAAACGTTAATGATAAGCTGTAGGTAGTATTTAGTACTAAAACCGTTACTGCGCCAGCAGGTGGAGTTTTGTTACTTGTAATGGAATGTAGATTATTGATTCGTAATTATTAAACAAAATTACATTTACGAACACCGTACGTTATTATAGAGATTAAGAAGAATCTTTACAGTAAAAACACGTATTTGTTAAGCTAGTAGACTAAACAAGAAAAGTTTGGTACCTCTCGCAAGATTTTGTGGCGGAAATACGAGATAATACGGTAAATGTAGCTGAAAGTCTGATAAAGAACGAGTATAAAGAGGCGTATATGTGCAAAGCATTTACACGTAGATATCACCTGAAAAAGTCCTTCATTGCTGTCTATGGACTGA